GTCCTCTAGGCCGGGGGGGCCAAGTCCAAATCCAGGCCCAAACCCAGGCCCTGCCAAGGCCCTGACCACTCCTCACCCGGCTACGGTCGCTGGAAAGGCCGCAGAAATCCTCGGAACTACTAAAGAGGCTCCAAAACCCCCGGAAGGTCTCAAAAAAGGCCTCCAGGCCATTGAAGATAAGCCGGCCAAAGAGGGCCCCCGACAGGCCGCCCAAACAGGCCGCGCGGCCATCCCCCAGAGCTGACACCACTAGGGGGCCGTCGAGGCCGTCCAAAAAGCCCCCCGAGGTCCCCGATCGCCGGGGAGGCTGCAAGCCGTCGTCGGAGAGGCCGCCTGAAGGGGCCGTCAGAGCCACCCACAAAGTCCCTGGCCAGGCCATCGCAGCCGACGAGGAGGCCGCCGCACCCACGCGGGCCTCCAAGATCACCCGAGAGGCCCTCCGGTCGCCAGAGACACCCCCATGCCAGGGGAGGCACCCCCGTGGAGGGAAATCTCCGGACCTCCAGATGGTCCAGGCCGAGTGGTCTGGGCCGAGCGGGCTGGAGAAGGCCGGAGACGCCGCCCGCCAACCATCAACGGGGCCGCCGCGGACGGGAAGGCTGGGTAAGCTGGAAAAGGCCGAAAAACGGCCAAGAACGATGACCGAATCGGCTCCGCGCCCCCCGCGCCCCCAAACGTCCCGTATCCAATCCGGGGCTCACCAGGAGAGGCACCCACATGGGAGTGGAACTCCGGGCCTTCGGGGAGCTTTCCAAGCTCCCCCTCTCGCCGTTTTCGGGCTCCGCATCTCGGAGCTAACCATGTCTTAAGGGTGCGGCAGAAGGAAGGGAGATCAGGGATCACCCTGATCTCTGGGGGCAGTTCATTCCAGAGGGTGGGAGCTCCCACCGAGAAGGCCCTCCCCCTTGGGGTCGCCAGCCGGCACTGTCTGGCCGACGGCACCCTGAAGAGACCCACTCTGTGGGAGCGTACAGGTCGATGGGGGGTAATCTGCGGCAGGAGGCGGTCTCGAAGGTATCCGGGTCCGATGCCATGGAGCGCTTTAAAGATGATGGTCAACACCTTGAAGCGCACCCGGAAGTCCACAGGCAGCCAATGCAGCTCACGCAACAGCGGTGTTATATGGGAGCGACGAGTCCCTCCCAACACCGCCCGCGCGGCCGCATTTTGGACTAGCTGGAGCCTTGAGTTAAAGTTTTTTTTTAACTGATTGCTTTAGGAGCTGTTGAATCCTGTATTAGTTCTGGGAAGTCAGGGAGGGGAGGGGTTTAAGGGGAAATTATAAATTGATGTAGTTAATATAACTATATAATGGAATTGTAATAATAAGAGGATATTCCCGGCTGGTTCCCCAAATTGCACTCGATGTGGTGGTAAGAATGCGGAAGGGATGTAGAAGTGGTAGGAGGAAAGAGGAGAGGCTGTGGGAGGAGGAGGAAAGAGAGGGAAAGTGGATAAGGGTGGAGGCAAGGCGGGGACTGCCGGGAGTATCCGGAACATTTTGAGTAAGATTTTCTTTTTTGTGGTGTTTGTAGATGCATCATTTGTATTTGTTTAATTCAAAATAATAACAAAATTTATAAAATATATATATATATATATATATCCATAGTATTTAGATTTCGGGTAGCCCAAAGTTCACTTAGTTCATTACAGAATAGTTGTCATATCTAAAATACACTTATTTACTCAAATAAATTCTTACTTTATTTCACAAACATATTCTATTTCTCATCCTAGTACCTCATCACTTACTAATAAAATAACCTTTATCGTCTCAATCCAATTTCTATATTATAATTCAAAACTATTATTCTAGTGACTATTTTTTATTTCCCTTATAAGTCTAAATCCTAAATATTAAATCATATCTTTTAAAATCTCCTTAGCCCATTAAAAGAGATTTTAAGCTCTTCCATAGGTCCCATAAAAAGATCCCATTTTTTAAGTCTAACTCTAGCTTTCTTTTTGTGCCAAGCAGGCTTCCATAGCAGTGCCTTTAAATCCTCAGGTGGATCTCCCTTCATTCCTACACATGTTATTTGAATCAAGGGAGACCATTCAATTATCAATTTTTCAAGGGAGCTAGCCCCTTCATAATCATTGGATTGTTGGCCTAATAATTCAAATCTCCATATTTGGCTTAGTATATTTGTCGTCAGTTCAGTCTGGTCTTCTTCTTCCGGTTTCAGCTGGTTTAAGTAAAAAGTCATGTTCAGTGTTGTAATTGTTGTTTGGTTGTCTGGGTTGTCTAGGTTCTCAATGTGCTGTACATGTTGGTCTTCAGCACCTTCCATCTTAGTATTGCTTTCTTCAGTTTCTGTTGCTTTTTGAATTGCATATTCAAAAGGTTTTGGTTTGGTCAAGGTTTAGTTATCTAGGTTCTCAGTAGGTTGTAGCTGGTATTCTTTAAAGTCCACTTTGATGTTAATTTCTTCCTCTTCTGTTGCATTTTGGATTGTAAGTTCATCAGTTGAAATCTGGGCTGCATTTTGTAACTTTAAGGTGGCGCCTTTATCTTTCAGTCTGGAATTCATTAGCTCAGTAGCCTCAAGGATTTTTTCAAGTGTAAGTTTGTAGTTAAGTTGTGGGTAGTATTCCTCCATTTCTATGGTGTTTACAGATAGTCCTTTAGTGGAGGCTATTTTTGATAAAAGTCAGTAAACATCCACCTCCACTATAAAGAATTGTTTTCACCACCCAACTGTTTCAAATACTTATATTTTTGATAGTGCCAAGGACAAATCTTAGTCTCACAGGTCTCCCAGTCAAAAAGAAATTCACTTGCTATACCAAATTTCACCACACGATGTCCCCGGTAGCATGTAACGTCTTTTTCCAAACTCAAGTTAGGCTTTTATCCAGTTTAAAAAAAATATTCTTTTTTTTTCAACTTAGCAGATAGATAAGGTAATTGGTCCCCGTAGAAATAGGAACCTTTTGGGGCCCCAAATATCCAAAAGGTGCAAGTCCAATTATTTAGTTGTTTAGTCTTTTCTTTTTTTTCCAAAACTTTATATTCCCAGGGTAGGCAGAAGCCGCCAAGTTAAGAGGGGGAAAGAAATTTCCAAAGGCTTTTACAGGAAGATAGTTGGGATGCAAGAAAGGTAAGGTAAGGTCTCACCCAATTCCTCCGCAGTGCTTTCGTTGTGCTTGGTATGGCTGGTATGGCTTAGTGGTACGGCCATTAACATGGCCGATCTTTTCTTTGTCGGTCCAAAGGAGCTGCCTCGGATCAAACGGAAGGGCTACCGCCCTTCTGCAATCTGTCGAGTGTCTTCCTCATGGTGGTCGCCCCTCCAGGACGGCTTTCGACCCTTTTCAGGGTCTTCCGACAAAGGAAAACCAGACGGCGGAGAGAGCGCTCTCCCCGAGTCTCCGCCGGCGCCGCAATCGCAAACTGGAAGCCATCATTTCACTACTCTTACCAACACAAGGTAGGTCTTAATAGCAGCTCTGACCTCCGACTAGTCAGATTCATCCCTTGCTTTCCTCCAGTAGTTCTTTAGGTGTCTCTTGACCCTTTTCAACACCCTCAACTCCTCCATAAAACACAAGGGAGCTGAGTCAAGAGACACCACACAAGTGCAATCCTGTCCAGAGCCTTAAATGCCTTCTAATCCAGATTGCGGTCAGAGTATTGGCAGAACCATGCAGGAGAAACCCCAGGATATTCACTAGTTCCCTTTGGAACCCACTCAGGTCCATAAGTTGCTGGGGCGGATTACCCAAATGGATCCAGTCTCTCTGCAAAGGGAGGCAGCATAAGAGAACTCCAAGGACACCAGTATGTGATCTGACCATGACAAAGGTTAGAAGAATAGATTCCCAACCATGTCATGTTGCTATCGCTCCAACAAGAAAAGAAAATCATGCGTGGGGTATGACTACTGAGTTGGGCTGTGAACTTCCAAGCTGCTTCTGATGCCAGCACTAGGAATGGCAAGTTGAAGTCTGGGGAACTTCACCAATCCTGAGATGGCCTCCAGCAGCTCAGGCAGGTAGGTTGTTACAGAGCAAAAAGATTGTAGCTTCAAGAACAGGATCTCACAAGCAGAAACTTGCGGAGCACGGTCACTGAAGGCGAGAAGAGATTCCCAGATAACAACTGCTATCCCCTTCCCTGCCCTGGGGTTTTGGCTGGTGCCAGACTTTAAACCAGCTGGATACATCTCCAAGAGGAGGACTCTCCTTTCCAGATCTCCGGGATTCATGCCAAGTAGGTAATATGTTATTACTCTCTAATACCATGAAAAAAGTTCAAGAGAAAATTTTTTTAAGAGGCAGGATGCCTTTTCTTTATAATTATTTTTAGTGTTAAACAAAAGTCTTTTAGTTGTCCTAAATTCCAGGGATATAAAGATTCAGCAGGAATCTTTATTTACTAGCTTGTATAAGTTCCATTCCACAGACCTACTGTATATGTACTAGTGAATCATAATGAAAGGGCTCAGATGAAAAGTTTTTGTCATCATTTATTGGCCTCTTTAATTTCCCTTTTATGCTTACACTGCTAGATCACAAACCACACTTTTTAAAATATCAGATAGAAATCTAGCAATAATGTATGAATAAAAAGCATGATGATCATCTTCATATTTAGGTTCCCTTACTTCCACTGTTGTTAAATAAAATTAATCATTTTTACTAAGCTGCCCAGAGTCACTGAGAGTGAGTGGGTGGCCATATAAATTTTCTAAATAAATAAATATTATTTTTTAAAACATTTAAACATTCAAGATGGTATTTTGGCAAGTGAAACTTTAAAAAATTCCCAGGTATTACAAAACCCCTAACAGATCATCCATCATTTTTCAAAGCAAATCAATAAACGGTATTTTAATAAACCGATTTATGTTTTTATAACTATTAAAATCTGTCAATAAACACATTATAATTAACTTTTGATTTCAAAGGAAACAGGAAACTAAATAGACAAACAGAAAAGAAAGTTGACATACTCTTCAGATGAGCCACTGGGCTTGGTGTTGATTTTCACAAGGTAATTTTCTTTCATGACAGCTTCCCATGCCAAAGTTTCATTATCTTCATTCCTTGAACCTTCAACATACAAAATCCAAACCACAATGTATAGTAGTGTTTTATTGACAAAAGAAACACAGATGGTAGAGATATAATTTAAAAGGGTAATAAAGACTTGCTTCAGCTGTACATTGTGCATATGCACAGAAACATGCACACATACATACATATATACATACATACAGCTATGCATATTTGTTCAGAAGGTTTTCACATTCCTAAGTATCCTGAATGCTTAACACAACTTTACCCATATACAAATACTGCCCCCTCCCCATACAGCTCCTTTAGATTATTCTGTTTTCATTATAGACAGTACACTAGATATACTGAGACATGGATATTTTTTTGTTAATTCCAAATATTGACATTCCTGTTTTTTAATGCTGCTTTCCATTTTATTTAGCCAAAGTTCAATTTTTTAAAAAATATTATTTTGCATTTTTCATCAGTGCACATATTTTCATTGGTTAGTTTCCATCTGTTCCGGTTTTGAAAAAATATTTTCCATAAATAAGTATAAGTGTTGCTATTTCTTCTTTTGAAACTGTGTAATTCAGTGGGTGTGATTGTACTGTTGCTGAGCTTCCATTAGTCTTACTGTTTTAGTAGTTCAGTATTATAATCCATGACTAGTTTAAATATAACATGTATCATAAACATGAAAAACCATGGCAAACCACCTCTATAACACTGTCGTGAAAACTGTATGGTCATATCTATATAGTCACAAGTCATACTCAATTTGAAGGCATCTTTATCTTTTACATTCAGGACAAGGAGCATATGCATAAGGAGCCCTGTGGCACAGTGGTTAGAATGCAGTATTGGAGGCAAACTCTGACTACAACCTGAAGTTTAATCCTGATGGGGTTCAAGGTTGATTCAGCCTTCCATCTTTCTGAGGTCAGTAAAATGAGGACCCAGATTGTTGGGGTCAATATGCTGACATCGTAAACTGCCCAGAGAGTGCTGTAAAGCACTATGGGGTGACATATAAGTCTTAAGTGCTGTATGCAGGATTACACATGCCTTGTATATTTTATGAAGCTTTGCTTCATAAGTGCATCAGAAGATTCAGATTTGATACAGCTAAAGAACTATAGACCAATATCACTATTAAATGTGGATTATAAAAATTTTGCCTCAATAGTAGCAGAGAGACTGAAAAGATTTCTGATTGAATTTATTCATCCAGACCAAAATGGATTTCTACCAAAAAGACAAATAAAAAATAACCTAAGAATTATTTTGGAAACACTGGAATATTATGAAATGCATCCAGGAAAACAAATGGCACTAAGTTTTTTAGATGCACAGAAAGCCTTTGATAATGTAAATTGGCAATTTATGATACAACAACTAAACTGTATGGAGAGAAATGTATAAATATAATTAAGACAATATACTATGGACAAGTAGCAAAAATAATTGCAAATGGGAATTTTACAGAGAATTTTAACATAAAAAAGGCACAAGGCAAGGATGTCCACGATCTCCACTGTTATCTGGAAGTATTGAATAGAAACATTAGACAGGATCTAGAAATCAAAGGAATGGAGATAAAAGATGAAAAATATAAACTGCAAGCATTTGCGGATGATTTGGTATTTATACTAGAGGAACTGTTGGAGACAAGCCCTAAACTATTGAAAAGGATAGAAGAATTTGTAGAAGTAGCAGGATTGAAGATAAACAGAGAAAAAACTAAAGTTATAGTTAAGAATCTTGTAGATAAACAAAAAAAATCAACTGTCAGATAGTTAAGAAAGTTAAATATTTGGGAATATATCTAACAGCAAGATGTGCAACAATAAAAGAAGACAACTATATAAAACTGTTAAATCAAATAAAACTGGATTCAGAAAAATGGAAAAATCTACAACTATCAATGTTAGGAAGAATAGCTACTGTAAAAATGAATATCTTACCAAAATTGCTCTTCCTATTTCAAACAGTACCCATAAAAATAGAGAAAAAATTCTTCGACAATTTAAACAAACTGATTTTGAAATTTATTTGGCAAGGGAAGAAAGCCAGAATTAGATTAAAAATGTTACAAGAATCTAAAGAAAATGGAGGATTTGGTTTACCAGATTGGGTGTTATATTATCAAGCATGTGCTCTAACATGGCTAAAAGAATGGATACCCCTTAGACATAAAAGATTATTATACTTAGAAGCACATGGTTTACAACTAGGATGGCATGCCTTTCTATGGTATGGGAAGAATAAAATTCATAGATACTTCCAAAATCACTATGTAAGAAACACATTACTTTTAGTATGGCAAAAGATAAAATCTAAAAATTTATATGAAAATACAAGGATGGTTTTGAATAATGGAAGCTTTTGTTCACCCAAACTTAACTAATTTTGAGAAAATTGTAACCTATAAAGATATTTTGAATACGGAAGGGAAATTAAAATCTAAACAAGAGTTGGAAGATCAGGGTATTGATTTATCATGGTGGCCTCAATTGCAAATACAATTGAGATATGAGAAAGATGCTAAAATACATGGTTTTTATAAAGACCAGACAATGTTTGATCAGATATTGTTGACTTCAGAAGAAAAGCTGATTAAGAAACGGTATAATTTTCTATTAAATTTAAAAATGGAAGATGAACAAGTGAAAGAAACAATGATAACATGGGCAAAAAACCTTGGGCACAATATAGAATTTAAAAAATGGTAAAATCTTTAGAAAGAAACTATAAATTGACAGTGGCAACTACTTATAAAGAAAATTTATATAAAATGTTCTATAGATGGCACCTACCACCTGCGAGATTAGCACAAATGTTTAAAAACATGTCTAGTAACTGTTGGAAGTCATCAAAAATCAGGCATGTACTACCATCTTTGGCAGATGTGCCCTAAAGCAAAAAGAATTTGGACAAAAATACATATCTGGCTAGGAAAGATGTTAAGAAAACATGTAGATTTCAAACCGGAACTATTTTTATTAGGTATATTATCAGGAAAATATGATAAGAAAGTGTATATTTAATGTTGCCTGTATTAACAGCAGCAATAATTGCTCCCTATTGGAAAAATGAAGAAACACCATCTGAAGAAGAGATAATCAAGAAAATACTGGACTGTGCAGAAATGGATAGACTTACACTGAAGATTAAAGAAAAAGAAGACACATAATATTTTCAAATATGGAATGTATTTTCTCAATGGCTGGAAAAAGAGGTAGAGATTAGGGATTTAATGTGTATTATTAAGTAAAACAAATGGACCCAGACAACACGTTGTTTACTAAGCACTTATGAATTGTAAATATAAAAAACTAATAAAATGACAAAAAAATAATAAGTGCATCAGTTAAGAATTCCAGGATCCTGCTCTTCCGGTGGTGACAGCCGCGCTGATGGCGGCTTCTTTCCAGCCGCCCGCCTGGGAATGCGTCAAAGCCTGAAGAAACAGCGATCATCGGCTGTTTCTCAGCTTGGAGCCTCGTTCCCCGGGTGAAGGGGGAGGGGTGAGTTTTTCCCAGATAGAGGTAGAGTTCCCCATCTCCTCCATATTCTTTTTTTTGGAGGATGAGGGGTGAGAACTCCCTCGGAGTCTGGGTTTTATCTCCGCACCCCAGGACGCCTTTGTTCCTTTTTTTAGGAACAAAGCCAGACGCTGCTTCCACATCTACTGCTTAAAGAGATCTGTGATTAAAATCAAGAGCAGACAGAGCTGACCGGGAGAACCAGAATTGTGAGAATTTGGGACTTTAACTCATCTCCTGAGTTAAAGTCCCAAATTCTCACAATTCTGGTTCTCCCGGTAAAGTAAAGTATCTTCTCCACTTACTATTTAAATTAAAGGAAGAAGTGAAAATGGTGGAGGAATGCTGTTTCCTGTTATGAAAGACTTTTACTTTTACTTGGTAACTAAGTTGAAACAATGTAATGGAATTTGGCTGCTTATTTAGAGACTAAAGTTTTTTTTTCCTTTATTGGGGGGGGGATTTGTTTTTGTTTTTACTATCCCCTCCTTTTTTCTTCGGAATGTTGGTTTTACAAGATTAATAAGTTTTACAGAAGTGGTCAAGTTTGAAAATGGCTTCAAAACGTCCTGGAACTTCGGCTTCACTTAAAGCTTTATCCTTTCCGGTAACTCAGACGGTGCAGCAATCTAAGCTTAAGCCTCCTTCATCCTCTCCTTTACCACCGGCTCTTACTCTTAAGGATTTACAAGATGCCTTGGAAAAAACAGTAAGACAGATTAGACAAGAAACTGCAGAGCTTTTTGAGGAGAAGAATAACGAGATGAGGAGGTATATATTGTTGATTTGCCAGAGGTTAGCAGCTCATATAGAACATTTGGACGAATGTGTGGACAAGGTAGTAGAGAACGTGGAAAGATTTGAAGACAGAGTTGGAAAAGTTGAAAATAATGTTGATATAATACAGAATGAAATTATTATGATACAGTATAGAGAGATGGAATATGCTTTGCGAATAAGAGGGTTGAAGGAGGATTTGCAAGAAAATTTGAAAGAAGAAATTGCTGCAGATTTAGCTTTTATTTGGGGTTGTGGACCTGAAGAAATCT